ATATATAATATTGTTCTCCTGTTCCTATTCCATTTTCCTATTTGGTCAAAGTCCAGTACGTAAATGATAGTGTTATTGACTTGTTCTATTTTTCTATTTTTTTAATTCAGATGCTTTTATTTTGCTTATGTTTTATTGAGTTTGTTCCTCAAATATATAACAAAGAAAATGCTTGAAATTTTAACTTTTAAGTAGTAATTTTTTTTATAACATGCATTAAGACAAAGGAAAGGTGAAAACTAAAATTGATATCATGATCTTTACAATCAACTGTAGATCATCAAGACCTTGTAATCAATTTAGATTTATTAGAACAAATATATATATATATATATATATATATATATATATATAAGATAAGTGTGAGTTAGGATTTCTGTGAATAGAATGAGATGAGAATGAATCTTAGTTTAGGGAAAAAATCCTCTTAACACAAAAACAACGATCTCTCTTCCTGTCCCGAGTTTATTACTGCTATCATTCCTCCTTTTATGACTCGACAATTATTATTATTATTTTTTTACTAAATTTTATTTTTTTTTAATTTTTATATTGTGAAATTATAATTTTTTAATATTTTTAAAAGGAAATTAACATAAAGCATTGTGGTATCTCAGAATTTAATACTAAAAATATTTCAATGAATAATTGAAAGCAATTAAAAATTTAAAAAAACTGCCTACAAAGTCTCACAAAATCTATTAAAATTCTGACTTAAAAGTCTTGTAGAATCTATTAAAATTTTAATTTAAAGTCTTACAGAATCCTACAAAATCTTAAAAGTGGTAAAAATCATGCAAAATCTATAAAACTTTTTTTTTAACTAAAAAATTATTTAAAATCCTAATCCAATATACACCATAAAAATCAAATCCTTGACCCAGTGTTTTAAAACCCGGACCGACCCGGCCGGTCGGATCGGTTGGACCAGGAACCGGTGGTCCAGCCGGTCCGAATTTGAAATTGGATCGATTATGCAGTCGACCCGTTTCAAATCGGATTGAACCGGTCAATTTTCCGGTTCAACCGGTGAACCGGTGGGTCAAACCGGTTCAACCACTTTTTTTTCTTATTTTTTTTTAAATTTTTTTAAGGGACCATAAATTACAAAAATAATAATGAAAATTGAATCTCTTAATGAAAAAGTAAGGAGTCTTATTAAATATAACAATGACTACTTGTTCTAATATATTTGTTTGCAATATATACAACTTAAATAACTTTTATAGTATATTATTAATTTTAAATTATATATTTAATAATGCAATATCTATGTAAATATTACATATATTATTTTGTGATATTAATTGCAAGCATATTATATATGTACATATTATTTATATTTTTAATTTGTATTAATATACCGTTTAACATATAATTTTTTTTATGTATTTTTTTACAAAATAAAAATAAAAATAATTTTAAATAAGATAGAAAAATTTAAATTTAAAATAAGATATGAATTTATTAAAATTTATAAGTATAAATATATTTAATATGAATATTTTTAATAAAAATAAATAAAAATCGAGTCATGCGGTTCAACCAGTAACCCACCGATTCAACCTTTGACCCACTAACCCAATACCTTAACCGGTTCGATGACCGGTCCGATTTTTAAAAGTATGCCTTGACCTTAACCACATGCTTAAAAAATATTATCAACTATATATATATACCGCACCATGTTAATTGTGATATTATGCTTTGAAGCTTGGATTCACAACGCCAATTTGAAATACACAAATTACATGTTTTGTTTTTTTAGGGGCAAATTACATGTTTTGTTCTACTCAAATAATTATATTTTAGGAAATTGATTGAACATTTCTCTCTCTCTACATTTTATACATTTCACTCTGTTTCAACACATGTATGCGTTCTTTATTACAATTCATTATCAAACTAATTTTAGGGTTCACCTGGTTTAAGACATTTATTTTTATTTTTACCACAAAAATGTTACGTTATTTTTTTATTTTCTATTTTCAAGAATTTATAGAAAGTAATAATAATAATATTTTATTTTCACTATAATCTACACAAAATTTTGAAAATAAAAATAAAAGTGAAAATAATATAACATTTTAAAATTACAAATAAAAGCATAAATTATTTTTTATTTTTGATCAAACCGTAAGACCCTTAATTAGGTTTGGTTTGAGCAAAAATAGGTTTGGTTTTATAATTATAAATAAAAGCCTTGTTATATATTCTCCTTACTTTATTTTTTTTTCCACACGGTTTTAGCTAAATTAGGTTTGGTTTGAACAAAAATAATTCAGAGTTTCACATTCTTCTCCCTCTTCCAGTCAATTTCATGAGAGGCAAAAATAAAGTTTGTTAGAATATATAAATATTTTTAAATAAATTTAGGTAGAGTGTTGTTTCGAGAAAGCTGAAGGGATCTGGATGTAATTTACATCCATCATGATAAGCATTTAAAATGGTTTGAAAATTGATCCCACCTAAAATTAAACACCACTACATAATTGGTCAGTTTTTCACATTAACTTTTTAGTTATTATATTTTGAAAATAATCAGGTGAAACGTTAGAAAAATTATAATATTTTCAATCTTGATTAGATTAGATCAAACGTAACTTTTAAATTTCTTGATGGAAGTCATGACTTTGTGGGTGGGGTATATATACATTTTTTCCTTTTCTTTTTACCAATAAAATTGTTAGTACAATCAATATATAACATAATCCATAAATAATAACAAAAATTGACATTATATTAAGAATAAAGATAATATTTATTTTTGTAATTTTTTTATACAACACTAACTATGAAACAACAAAGATAATAGTGTTTTATTTATGTTATCAAAAAGTTGTTCTCATTGTTAAAAAAAAAAGAAAGATAAAATTTGTATTTTTAGTGGGTTGTTTGGCCAGCCCGAGAAGGATAAAATTATACATATGATGTGAAAAGTATAGTATGAAAATGACATTGAAAAATTACATGTAATGTTAAGAAATATTAAATAATTATTGTAGGAAAAAATAAAAATAAAAATTTGTGTTTGAGTCACGGGTAAGGAAAGTGTTTCCTAACTAAGGCAGGTGGGTACCTGCTACAAATTACAATGAGCAATCTTGAATCCTCACTGTCACGTGCCATGTGTGCTTTCAGATTCTACTATGTAATCAAGATCTCCTCTTCTTCCCTTTCCTTTTTCTTGTATGCATATACATTATGTCATAAATACATTATACACCACTTTATACATAAAACCAATAATATCTAACTTCACCCATCAACTTTAATAATTATTAAATTCAATTTTAAAAATACTCACTTCATGCAACTCCGGTCTAGATGATCCATACCTTTATCTTAGGATAAAGAGGAAGATGAGAAAATATTTCTTTATTATTTAACAAATACCCATCTTAATAATAGTTTTTAAAAATTGTTTTTTTTTATAATTTTTATAACAGCGACAACAAAGTTTCAATTTTTTAGGTTGACCTTACTGTGTGTTACAAATAAAGAAATTAAAAAGTAAAGAGATAATTCCATTTGGAGCATGGAAATAACAACAATGAGTGGATATTTATGAAGGAAATATGACCATATGAATGAAATGGGAAGACTTTTTTGAATTTTATGAATGGAAGCAATACTCCTAATTAACACCAAACTAACAGTCCAACACATTGAATGTTATTTAACAAAATTTCATTAAATATAAAAAGAAAAAAGAAGAGAAAAATTCCACTTCAGTGGCATAAGAGGGTAATTAGGAGTGACATGAAGGACATAATATTTGCCATGATCTTTCATTTTGAGAAAAAAGACAAAAAGGAGGTCAGCGGCAACATAAAGCTTTGGCCGTCCAACCCTGTCTTTGCAGCTTTAAATAGCAAATTTAATTAATTTCTCAATAAAAAAAGAAAAAGCCACAACTTTATTTCCTCTAAATTACATTGCTTTATAACAATTTTACTATATTAACCATGGATCTAAATATAGCTACAATTTTTTTTTTTTTTTTTTTTTTTTTTAATTGTCCCTCACGGACGTCAAATTCTTCTTAACCATATTGTATTTATCGGGCTTAGGAATTTATTCAAATCAAATAAAATAAAGCCTTTAAATATTTATTACTATTTAATATAAATACACTTTATCACCCTTGTTTTATCTTTGGTTTTTTCTCCCTGATTTATTATTGTTTTTAATTGCTGTAACAGTAGTATTTATTTTCAGCTTTCCATTTTTCTCTCTTTTTCAACTTTCAATTCAAGCAGCTTTGGAAAAACCAACCAGCCAACGGGTTTTTTTTCACCTCTGATATTTGTAAGTTGCCTTGAATTTCCAGAACAAACACTGCTTTTGTTTTTGTTTTTGTTTTTATTTTTATTTTTTGTGTTTTTGAGTTTTTACTGTCTGCGGTGTGTCTAGCTGAGCTAATGAGTTTCTCTGGTGCAGCTGAAAAAGAAATCTGAATTCAAGTTTTCAGCTTTGGAAGAAGCTTGCTCAAGTGTGGAATCACAGTGACAGGTCATGATCTTTGCATTCTGAAGAATATCCACACCCTGATGTTGATGTGTTTTCCATAAGAGAATATATAAGGAGCTTTCTTTCAAAATTTTGTATTTTTTATTTTTGGTGTTTATTACTATTTCCCCCCCTTTGTTTCAGCTTTCTGGTTTTTGAAGTTTTGGAAAATGCTGGGTTTGAAGCAGATTTATTTTAAAGGGTGGTGTTTGTTTTTCTGTTTTTGAAAAGCCTTTGATGTTTTTGGATGGTTTCGGCTTTATTTTCAACTCTGGCCTCAGAAATATTTGAAGCAAATGAGTGATTTTTTATTTTACCAATTTTTTTTCGAAATTATTTTAGCCAAGTGGGGATTTATTTTTTAAAAAAAATTTAAAATCGTACTATTTTACTAATTTATGTTATTTTGCTTTTAGTGGCTAATATTTTTTTTCCCTTTTTCATCTCTTGTTAAGAGGTAAATTTCTGGTTCTTGTGTTTGAAACTAAGTACCCATTTTTCAGAGATGAGAACGAAGACCAAAGAACTTAACTTTGATAGAAAATAACTGCATTTCTTGTTATAATTCTACACTCTGAATCCGAATGGTTGAAATCTTTTTTTTAGCTTTTTTCCCCCGATTGCATGGCTAAAGCCCCTTAATGGATCTTTGCTAATATAGTGAAACAGCTTTTTTGTAGAACTAAAGTTTGCTTCTTTAGTTTACCTTCTTACTCTTCAGTGAGATCCTTAGATGGGTTTTCACTGTGCCTCTGTAACATGCTGGAGAAGGTTTGAAGGCATTGATGCTTTGGCTAAAAGCTATAATTTTTTTAATTAATTATGCTCTTGTAATCCATTTGCTTTCTAATTGTTGTTTATTCTATTCTATTATGGGGTTGTAGGTGTTGGTTTGGTAATATAGACTTGAGGGTGATAATTCAGCATTTGCATGGAAGCCAGAGAAGGCATTAGTTCTGGGGTTACAGTGATAGGGGCAGAAGCTCCATCAGCTTACCATGTGGCGCCGAGGAGTGAGGCTCCAAACCAGGTTCATGTCCCTGATGGTGGTGGCGGCGGCGGAGGTGGTGGTGGTGGTGCAGCTCTTGGTGTATCACCTGTGAATGTGGGGTTGGATGGAACATCAGTTAAGAAGAAACGGGGTAGACCAAGGAAATATGGGCCTGATGGGTCTGTTACTATGGCATTGTCACCAATGCCAATATCGTCGTCTGCTCCGTCCTCTAATGACTTCTCATCGGGGAAGCGGGGGAAAATGCGGGGGATGGACTATAAGGCTTCCAAGAAAGTTGGTTTGGATTATCTAGGTAGTTGATGGCTCTTTGTCTCTTTGATGAGTTTTATGTTGATTGCTCTTGATGGTAATTAATATGGTTTGTCAAGTTGTTCTCATTTTGCTGGTAATCTTTTCCTTTTGGTGAAAATTCAAGATTTTTTCTGTTTGCCATGATGAAATTACTTGTTTGTGTTGCTTCTTTGATTTTGCATCATGTCTAACTTGGGAACTGTTTTTCATAGATGCATGATAAAGTTATCATTTTTTTTAATAGCTTATTAAGCCACCCTTGTGCACGAAAGTTTTTCACATAGCCAGGCACAATGAATTACTTTATAAATTTGTTATTTCCATGCATAGATGAGGAAATTTGTGTTAACGAGGGAGTCTTTCTCTTGTGACTTTCATATGTTACATCTTTATTCTTTTGTGGGGATGATGAGATCTGTATCATTGAGATTAAATGCATCTGTTGAATGGCAGGATATTTCTTGATAGGTAACCTCATTTTTTGCTTAACCATATTATCATTTAGGTTGGTCACCCCTAGTATACTCGAGCAGAGTGTTGTTTTGGATTTCAATTGACACTTCTAAATCTCTGAAGTTTGAATGGCATGGCCCTTCTACCAAATCCTAATTGGGTTGGAAAGTACTATGTTACCAATTTAATTGTTTTTTGCTTAAAATTAAAATTCCTACCATGATAAGATTATTCAACTAACATAAATATCCAGGGGAAAATATTTGAGCAGTTTTATTTATATTATTGCTTACTTGCTAAGCTTCAGCTCAGTTCAGTAATATTTATTATTGGTGATTCTGTAGGTGACTTTAATGCGTGCTCTGATGGTACAAATTTTATGCCACATATCATCACTGTCAATGCTGGCGAGGTATGCTTTACTGGGACTGGGCAAGGGAAAAGCTTCATTTAATTCACACGAGTTTGCTTTTGCTTTGAATTTGTCTCTCAACTGTTTCTTGTTATTCTTATCCTTGAGGTTCTATAATCATGGAGTTATAGATGCAGGAAGTGTTTAATTGAATATTTGTTTTTTAACTATTAAAATTATTTTATAATTTTATAAAACAGTTTTATAATCTAATTTTTTAGATGGTAGGAGTGGGGGAAGATAAGATAGTGCGAGGAAAATTTGATAATAGAAATTTGAAAATAGAAAACCAAAACAACTTAATGATTGTGGCATTTTCATCTATAGCAGTGTAAAAATTCAAATTATGGAAGAAACAAAACTGTAAAATGCAGCTAGTACTATCAAAAGTGTTCGTTTAGTGTCTGATGCATATCCTTTTCACATGGATACAGCATGAGTATGACTCTTTTCTGAAGAGTCCATGGTTCCTTCTGGTCTTGAGACAGTTTGCATTGAAAGATCAAGTATGCAGTTTTTGTTAACTACAGGGCTTGATTTACTTCTCTTCTTTTCCCATCGTTGACATATATCTCATGTATTTATTTGGATAGGCTTAAAAAAAATACAGATTTTTTTCTTCTTGCAAATATCCTTATTGACAGAAGACTAACATCGTTAACATATATCTCAGTGTTTTGTACATTTATTATCCATTTGAAGGAGAAAAGCCTTTATTCATACTTTCGTTTAGCAATGTTTATACTTGATGATGAAACTTTCTCCAAAAGATAGTTGAACAAGGTTAACCTGCTTTACTCTTTTGTTGTTGTAGGACATTACAATGAAGGTGATATCCTTTTCTCAACAAGGGCCACGAGCTATATGTATCTTATCTGCTAATGGTGTGATTTCAAATGTTACTCTTCGTCAGCCTGATTCTTCTGGGGGTACTTTAACTTATGAGGTGCGGCAGTATTTATGTCATTGATTGTTTTACTTTATTTCTTTTTTCAACCTTTCCTTTTTTACAATGGCATTTTAATGCAATTTTACACTATAATCGTCATTTGTTTAAAGACTAGATATTTATTTGAAACTTCCTTCTGAAAATAACATTTTTTTTTTGTTTTATTTTGCTTGCCTTAAACTTATGAACTTTGCCAAAGAAGCATATATAAATGAATCCTTCACTCTTACTTATGCCCATACCCTCAAGTGTTTCGTAATGGCCTTTATCTCTTGTTCAAGATGTGATGTATTATTTTCTTTCTGGCCAGTTTTTTTATTAGTTTACCCTTGTGGTCTAGGTTATGTTGCTTCTGTTTAATGTTGTATGTGTTTGTGTATGTGTGGTTAATGCTCGTGATGTTAAATTAAATTACTTGAACTAGAAATATGAATATAAATTTTGGGAATTGCAAAAGTTATCGGATTGTTAACATTTATAACCAGATACAATCGAAATACTAGTATCGATGTCCTGAGTTCTATAAACACTTTCTGGTTAGTAAATTAATTGTGGTTGTATGGAAGTTGAATTCAATGATATGGTAAAATTTTACTAATATCTTGTCAATTAGTTTTGTTAGTAATCACGTTATCTGTTATGAATAGCAGTTTTCAAGAGAAGATTAAATCTTATTATCAATAATACACGAGATATAATGATAATGCAAACATACAAGGAAGATTTAGAGTTCTAGTAATAAACAAAGGAAAAATATTTGCGTGTGCAATTGATGAATAGGTTGCACAATGCTCATGATGAGAAGTTCTAAATCTACATGCAGAGTTTATATAAATTGATTATTGATCTGATCGATAATTCGTTATATTCTTTTTATTATGTTGAAAACTTTTTTGGTCGTTACAATTTGTTGGAAATAATGACATTTAGTGTACTAAGGAAATAGACTGTTAAATTTTTAAATTAGAAAATAATTTGTATTAAAAAAATTAAAGGAGTAAAAAGTTTAATTTTTTGGGGTTAAATTTAATTTCTTTAATTAATGTAAAATAAAAGGCATTATTCATACAAATTATTTATTTATTTATGCTCTCTCTTCCACTTATCCAAATCAACTGAGAAATTTATTCAATTATTTCCTTTAGGCTATTCATCCAAACAATACATATTTTTCTACTCAATTTTTTTTAATTACTTCTATCCTTTCTATTTCGTTTCTTCTTATTTCGTGGTGTTCCATTTCACGCCTAGTCCAAATAGAGCATTAGTTTTCATGGGTACAAGTGTGTATGAAGTTTCATCACTTATCATAGTTCTACGGAATAGTTTCTTCCCAGTCTATCAATAGTTTACAGAGATGAGTGTAATGCAAAACCAACGTATATGTACCATGCATTCTAATGAATAAGTTGTTTCATCCTCTAAGTTCTCCCTTTCTCTAATTTTCCCTTTTCAATTCCCTGCTGCCAATGCCATGTTCTGAAAATAGGGAAATGTTTTGCTTTTTACGTGCCTTCTTCTCTAATTCTAAGTCGTCAAATGTCCTTCCTATTACCATTTTTCTTCCTTGTAAGTTGTAAGTTGTAGCCACTCATGCATGCTAGGCTTAAGAAATGAATAATGCACAAATTGCTTAGTTTGAAAAGATTGCATGATTTAAGTTTTACTTTTAGAGACTAGAAATAGTTAAGGTTGCCTTAAAATGACTGGCTTAAAAATTCTGGTTTTGATAGTCTTTGCTGGTACTTGATGTCATTTGTTTACATAAGTTCATCAATGAGTTGGGTTGGAAATGGTAGTTTTTTATTTGATTATGACTTGTTCATGATGGTGCTATAATTCTATTCCAAATATTTCTTTTGTAGGGCCGTTTTGAGATACTTTCCTTGTCTGGATCATTCATGCCTACTGACAACCAAGGAACAAGAAGCAGGTCTGGTGGAATGTCTGTCTCGTTGGCTAGCCCTGACGGCCGTGTTGTAGGTGGTGGTGTAGCTGGTCTTCTTGTAGCTGCCAGTCCTGTGCAGGTAAGCCACCTCCCTCTCTGCTCCCTTAGGATATGCTCAATTTTGCAAAGTTCATTTGTACTTGCATGCTTGAAAAATGAACCACATTGTATTCTCCTAGTATATTGCCGAACCAAACAGGATTCACAATTGCAGAGAGGCTAGCTTGCATGCCATGACAAGTGCTCCCTACCCTAGACTTACCTTATTGTAGACTGATATAAATTAGGCCAAGTTAGGAGGGTATAATTCTGTTTCAAATGAATGATCACTTATTGCATGTTCCCCAAACATGCATTTTTTTATATAATTTTTTATAATAAATGTGATTTTACAACAAATTTATTTTGTTAATGGCTTTTACAAATCAAATTTAAGTTTGCTTCTTGTAATTTTGAGATGAAAGTTCCTAAATCTAATTGTAATCGAAATCAATTTTATAAGATCAATATCCCAAATAAAGTTTGCAAATGTTCACTCAAATGCACTCTTTTATATGTAGGTGGTGGTTGGAAGCTTTCTACCAAGCAGCCAGCAAGAACAAAAACTAAAGAAGTCCAAGTCTACTGATTATGCAGCAGCCACTGTTACTCCAGCCATTGCAGTGTCTTCTGCACCACCACCTCCAACCAATGCTGAGAAAGAGGATGTGAATGTGATGGGTGGTGCACATGTACTGCAAAATTCTGGAACCCTTAACACAAACCTCACTGCCCCTAATGCCTTTAGAAGAGACAACTGGGTCAACATGCACACTATGCCTGACTCTAGAAAGTCAGCTACTGATATTAACATATCTTTGCCTGATTGTTAAGTTGATCATCAACCTCAACTACTCTTGCTGACAACATTATTCATGACTCAGCTCTTTTATTTCATGTTTACAGTGTTCTCTCTCTTATCTAGAGATTGTTTCAAACATGTCTCATGTCTATTACCGTAGGATGTAGTTTCAGTATTGTAAGTTGCAGCTAGGTAGAGTATCTCATATGTTTATCGGCTGATTAATTAGGTAGATGCTGCACTCTGCAGTATTATGAGTAGGCTAATTCGGATGTAATGCAAACTTGTTTGCCTATTTATTTATGACTGAATTTGTTCAAGAATTTTCCTTTTATTTTGTATTATTTTTTTTTTTTTCATTTGGTATGTTGAGATTTTAGCTGAATGTGCTTCAAAGGGACAAGAGAAAAAGGTATGAATGATGAATGCAAGGCCACACAAGAAAGGATATACAAAATAATTGTACACAAGTAGATATTAGTGTCATAGACCTATTAAGGAAAAGGTATAGTAAAATGGTTAAGTAGTTTGGATATGTATTGGAAACATCTGTAAGGAGAGTAAATTATACATTTTTATCACCAAGGACATTATTGGTAGGAAGTTGTTCAGATGAATATCATGATCAATATATGTGAGAATTATATATATATATATATACTCAATTGACATGAGATCGGTTTGCACCGGTCTCAAACTCTTGTGCCATGTTATCAGAAAATACTGAAAAATTTGAAACCATATATATTTTTTTCTTCAGGGTCAAACTTTGTGTTTGTCCAAAGAATTCCCTCTCAATATCATTGAAGCTTTAGGGGATCCTCAAACCTAGGAGTCTTTCAACACACACATTTCAACGTAACATCATATACAACTAGGAATAATACAAAAAATATTATCAAAACTTACGGTGTTATATAAAAGATTGAAATTATAAATAAAAAATTATAAAAGACCAAAAATATAAATAAAGTAAAATATAATTGAGTCTAAAATATTTTATAATTTTTAATTAGATATTATAAATTTATAATTAAAAATTAGTGAGCATAATTGCGCATCTTATACTTTGCTTGTCCAAAGATTTGGTACTATATATAGCATGACTGTTCGATGGAAACAATCAGTAGCACTAACAAACGGTCCAAGGTGAAAGAAACAGACACCACTGTACAGCTTATGTTTTGATAAACTTGTATAGAAGCATTTTTTTAGGAAAAATTATATATAAAAAATAAACATTAAAATTAATTCATGCATAAATTTATTTGTAATATATTTTCATGTTGTGTAGAGCTTATGGTATATGCATAGAATTGGACTGTGACAAGGGAAGGGATGTGAGATGGAGGATGGGGTATTAAGCAAAAGGAAGTCGATGTTAAAAGATATTACGAAAGTGTGAATTTCTGAAAAGAAGAAACTTATTTAAGAAAATAGTACTGTAACATAATTCTTGAAAAAAAAAAGAAAAAAAGAGGAGCCTGTGAATTCGTAATTAATGAGAGAGAGTCCAATTTCATATACGCATTATATTGTGGTTGTGAACAGCGCATGCCTACGGATGACAAACATACCAGTACCCGCAAATAATACCCGAACTCGTCCCGACTTTGACGGGAAATACCTGGTTTGACCGGGTACGGGTACGGGTACGGGTAAAACCCAATATATTAAATTGGGTACGGTACGGGTACGGGTATGTACTTACC